AACCTAGTGAATTCGTAGGGATGGTCTGAGTGTAATGTTGAAATAAAAGTTAACTCTTCATATTACCTAGCCATAGGATTTATAACTTTCACTTATCACGCATGTGCCGTATGTATTCACATACACGTATGCCTATCCATTCATGTACCTCTACACATGCATTCACATGCATACATATGATTTATAGGCTACATACTGAAACTCATTTTTGTTTCAAAATTTATTCTTTAATAGACTGGAAGTGTATTGTCTAAGGAGAAAATTTTATGGACAAAACAAAATAAACGGTAAATGATCAAAGAGAGTATTATGCAGATAGTTGTATTTATGAAATAAATGCTATCATTCCTTCTTTTTAGGCCCTTCCTCTCCTGACCAACCAGATTCAAATAATCTTTACTGGCTGCTAAATTTCTCTTGGGAAATCAAGCGACTCTCTAGAATTGCAGTAATAAACGACAATTTCTTACAAAAACATGTGTAAAGTAACTACAGAATGAAGTATTCAACTCATAGAAAGGAACTGCTAACATGTGTAACATGGAAAATAGCTGATAAAAGTCTCTTTGGTGCCATTCAATTATGGCATCAGCAGAAACACAAAAATCCTTCCAATTATTTCAGTAAAAATCTTCATTTATTCATTATTTCAGAGGCTGAGCAAATGGTTTGTGTAAACATATCCTTCAGTAACACGCGCATGTTTATTTTAGCCATCTGAAGGCTTCTTCTATGTTTATATAAGCCATCAGACACATACAGCCACTCACTTGTGGCTTTGCCTTCTTTGAAAGGGGTGAAGGGGGAGAAGTGAGAATGAAACAATAAATCTATTTTCTCTTTTGCATAAAGCACTCCCTCCAATATTTTAAAATAACTTATGTTTATATTATTCTTGGATTGTCCTTTAGTTTTCTTTTTCATTTAGTTATATTGCTCTTTCCTATTTGATACTACAAGTTATGTCCTGGTTAGATTTCAAGAAAGAAAGTCAGTTAGGGAGGGAGCTGATGTATTTGTTTATACCCACATGACTCACATACGTAACAGTGTGATTTGTCCACACAAGAGAACAAATCATAGACACAACAGTACCCTGATGAAAAGCATAAGCAACTCATCACCCATTACCCTCCTAAGAGCTAAGCCTTTCCTAACTCAATCAGAAGTGAGTCCTTCACCAGCAGATTTTATTCTGGTTTAATCGCAATATCTGACCTTTGGATTAGACAGAGAAATTCACATTTTCAAGTCACAAGTGACACACATAGAAACAGGCACACAAAGACACACACACACACACAGAGTTCTGATCTCTCAATTAGACAAAAGTTTCACATTTTCAAGGTACAAATATCTCTCTTCTCTCAGTCTCTCTCCACCTCCCCATTCCATCCCCCCAACACATACACACACCTTCTCTCTCTCTCTCTCCATCTATCTATCTATCTCTGTGTCTCTCTGTCTCTCTCTGTCTCTGTCTCTCTCTCTGTCTCTCTCTGTCTCTGTCTCTCTCTGTCTCTCTCTGTCTCTCTCTCTCCCCCCACCTTACTTTTTCATAGGTCAGAACAACAAAACACCTTGATTTGAAACTTACTAAGTCTGTGAAAACTTTGCAAAGGATTTTGCTTTTTCTCTCAGGGTAATGTTACTGGGTTCGGGAGTGGGACGGAAGTCCAAAGAGGGAGAGGATGGAGGAAATCTCCCTGTTCTGATTATACTGCCTCCTTATATTGTCATTTTGGTTCTGAAAAACAAGCTGCATTTGACATGGAGCCAACCCTTCAGGAGGACTGGTATGAAGCAGAAAAGAGGGCAACCATGGGCACTGTCTGAGTAAAGTAATGAAACAAGCAACAGTAGAAAGACAATTAAACATGCAAAACTAAAGTACTCCCTTTGCTTTGTGCTTTCTCACTACACTATCTCCAGGGATTGCCTTTTGTTAAAAACAAGAAGCAACAACCACAATAAAAATAACCTGATTATTTCCTTTATTCCATTATGACAAAAGCAAATTATTTAATTCTCTGGTTGAATAGGTCTACATTTCTCATATATTTTCAATTTATTCAAATAACTTAAAAAGTTGTAGCTTTCCCTTGAAAATTTTAGATGTCTATTATCTGTCTTAAAAGCAGTAGTGTCACAGATATTTGTGATTTCCTTCTTGAATATCCATTGGTGGGGAGGGGGGAAGGGATCAAGTTTTGAAAAAAAAAAACAACTCAGGGTTGGAAAAATAGTACAGTGGATAGGGCCCTTGCCTTGCGTGCAGCTGGCCTGGGTTTGAATCCCCACGCCACATGTGGTCCCCTGAGCACAGAGCCAGAGTAAGCCCTGAGCATGGTTGGGTGTGCCTCCCCACTGCTATGCACACTCTTCCTCTCAGAAAAAAAATAAAAAGAAAAAAAGAGAGGCTGGAGCAATAGTGCAGTGGGTATGGCGTTTGCCTTGCACACGGCTGACCCGGATTTGATTCCCAGCATCCCATATGGTTTCTGAGCGCCACCAGGACTAAGTCCTGAGTACAAAGTCAGGAGTAACCCCTGTGCATCACCGGGTGTGGCCCAAAAAGCAAAAATAAATAAATAAATAAATAAATAAATAAATAATTGGGATTTCTTGGGTCCAGAGCAACAGTACAGCAAATAGGGCATTTGTCTTATAGGAATCCAACCTGGGTGGATCCCCAGAACCCTATATGGTCCCTGAAGCCTTGCCAGGAGTGACCCTTTACTCCTGCAGAACCAGGAGTAAGCCCTGAGCACAGGCAGATGTGGCCCCAAAGTTCAGAGCATAAACTATAAACCATGAATAAATTCTGAATATCAACATTGTTATACAGACACAACATTTTTGTATGCTCAAATATGGATTCTATGCTTAATTTGGAAAATACAACAAAGCAAATCAAGTTCTCCTAGTTTGAGTATATTTATTCTCAACAGCATGATACTTGAGTTTTAAGAACTGTGAGCATAGCAGTCATGCAGCATTTGGGAATAGCTCACCCCAGAGATCCAATAAATACCGGCTGAATAACGAACTAGATACATGCCATTATCAGTTATATGCCTTGTGAATCATGATTAAAAAAAAGGGGGGGAAAATAAACTGCAAACTACCAACTTCCAGCTTTTTGAAACATTAAGAGGATTCTTCAAATCATTAGCAACTTATCTAAAAAGTTTATCATTTATAGGAGGGAGAAAAAAGCAAATCTTAAAATGAATCTTTAAATGAATGAAGTCAGAATCTTAATAATCTGACTTATTTATGGCCTGGAACTGACTACCACACAATTTTACATATTTACCAAAGGGATTTGCAACATGAACAAAGCACTCTCCAGAGAAATGAACTTAGTCAATTGCGTTAATTCACTATGATATTGTGTTCTGGTATGGTTTTATAGTTCACTCACCTTTTGCATCTGGGGGCCATATCAATTTTTATATAAACAATTACTAGGAACCAAGTGTATTTATATCTTATATTTCCAATAATGTATAGTCATATTCGACTTTACTGTAAAATATAACTTGACAGTAAAGTCAAATATGAATATACATTAAAGGTACTATCCTATGCCATATAAGCAAATATCAACCAATAATCCACAGATCTGGAAGTTTAAAGCACTAACACTATTTTTAAAAACATAAATGCATGCTTCTAATATGAAGTTATAAATACAGTAAGGCTAATATGAAAAGACAGGCCACTTTGCTCACCGATTAAAAACTCTAAATATAATAAAGTCGTTAAATAAAATTACATTGAAGTATAGTGTTAGAAAATTCAGTTAATTTAAAACTACTCATTTAGACTTTAAGATAGTTATAAAGTGATTTGACTATGAAGAATATTGAAGTAAGATGCTGTTACTGAGTTTATCTTTTTTATATAATTATATGTTTTCCAAGTGGAGAAATAATATAAGCTTTGGGGGGAAAAATGAAAAATTTTAGAGGAGAGGTAACACCAGTAGTTTAAAAAAAAGAGAGAAAAAGTCATATTTTATCCAATTATGAAGGAATTAATAATTCATATTTTTAAGTTCACTTAACAGTGAATAACCGAATTAACTATCTTGGTTTTTACCTGAGTAAATGGCATTGCATTTTATTTATTCTGCTTCAGCAGATTCCATCAAGCATTGTGGAGATGAGCATCCATCTATAACTGATACCTGAGCAGGTCCTACTTAGCACAGGAACTATGCAGTCATAGCAGGACTGGGATGTTATGTTGGTTCTACTTTTGATGAACTGCTTTATAACATTCACCTCATTCTCTTATATAAATTGCTATCTCTTGTTACATATGACTATAACATGAATTTTAGTTACCAGTTTAACAAGTTCTTTAGTAAGATAAAATAATTTTCAAAATCTGACTCGACACTATTTTCTAATACCAATTTTAAGACCAAAACTACTGAAAATAAAATTTGAAATATTTTTCTCAGCCAATCAGATAAAGTTAATCGATAATCTTCACATACATGTATTCAAAAATAATAAAATTTTATTTAAACAAAATTCCTTCACGACTGATTTCAACAATCTTCTTATTCTTATGGCCTTCTTTAAAATATTTCTTCTAGTTTTTCCCCTCTGACAATAAATAAATAGTAAAATGTCTTAAAGTTAACAGTCAAGGAAGAACTGGTTAGCTGAAAATGCCATAAAATTGTGATTTCATATCTGAGATCCTAAAATCTATGTAAAATTCACCTTCTCTGCCCCACATATGATAACTTGCTTAAAACATTTGACAGCACTTACATATTCCGGTGATCAATTAGCATATGTTATCATTTGAGTTGCATTTACATAGGAAATAAAAAGAGGGGTTAAGGGAAAAGGGATGATATAGCCAAAACAACTAAATTCTTAACATATTTTCTGTCAAACTAATTTAAAACAAACACTATAAATAGCTCATGTAATTTTTAGGTGTAAGTGTAGGGTTGGAAATAATTAAAATGTTACCTTTGCCAAGTAATTCCCAATGTATCCTCACTGGTACTGGGGTATAAATGCCTGCCGTTTTGATTCATGGTCCAGTCACAAATCCTCAGCTGTCAATTGAAACCTAGCAGTCAGATATGGATCGAGCAGTACTACAGATTTTAGTATTTAAATGAATACATGCAACTAGTACTGTACATGGCATTAACCTTACTTTCCCAAGAGGCAACTTAAATAAATAAATAAATAAATAAATAAAGCAAAAGAAACCTCACTCTGCAAAGCAAAATCCTAGATTCTTTTTTTTTCCTTTTTTAGAAAAGGCTATTGCAATATGCTTCTTTTATTAATTAAAGCATACAGGAGAAATGTTTAGAACATAACAATTAGCCATTATTAGAACACAAACTGAGCTGAAAAGCAAACGTTAATGTTCAATAGAGATATATTTTAGAAAGAAAATAAAAAAGCTTTTAAAAAAATGCAACATACCAAATAATCTGAACTCTGTAAAATAATCAATAACTTTAAGCATGCAGTTTGCAAAATGGAAGACATGCAGTTTAGAGGAGAAAGACCCTACTTGAGAAACATCCTCCCTACATTATGTTTAGAATCAACAAGGTATTCAGTTTTAGATATTTATTGATTTTATCTTATTCAATGTCTGGAAATAATTGATGAGGATGTCTATTTTTATTTAAAACACAGAATAATGGCATGAAAATACTTCACCACATCTGAATAGAGGAATGCACTGAATACAAGATGAAACAAATTCTTCCCAGCGCTCCAAATCATCAGCTCTGCCCTTCAGAGATTGTTCAAGTAACCCTATCCAGCTCTGTTTGGTTAACAGCTGCCCTACAGTGCTAGCAGATTTACTGAAAAGATATATTGCTTATTTTTATGCTTAAGAAAGTAAACTATCTGGCTTAGGGGTAAAACACTAGAAATTATAGTTTTTAATCTTTAGACAGTTACGCTGTAAATTAACTACTGCATCTTGCATTGGAAATGATGACTTTCAGCAATTGACTAGACATTGTTTGCTACCTTGGAGTGAGAGCTTCTAGAGGATTATTGGAACCAAATTGCCCTTAGAGTTGGTGAATTATTTTAATCCTTTCTTATAGTATTCTGGTCGAGAAAAAGACTCGAGATATCCCTTTCCTTTTAGATTCTCCATTTCTACACACCCTAATTCTAGAGGTTTAGAAATCTTTCTTTTCATTTTTCTATAGATTTGAGAAGCCACAAAAATATTACCTTAAAGTTTTGAAATGTATATTTAAATTATATTGATGTCTCAACTGACAAGTGATTTGACACCAAGGAACCGAAAAAAAACTCTTCCTGTATAAATAAAGTGCCATAAATCAATAATAAATTAAATCAGCACAAAAGAATTCTTTAAATAGACCATAATTCTTGCATCAAAGGAAAATGTATAGTGTATGTTTAGTTTTACCTCAGATTAACAAACTTAATGAAATATTTTCTAATATTTAATTAAATAATTAAAAACATTTCATCAGAAATGTAAATATGGTGGGATAATCAGAAATTGTTTCTCTGTAAGTAAGCAGTAAGTAAAACCTATTTTAAAACAAACTTCCAAAAGCAGTATTACAAAAATAATCCAAAATCCAGAAATATCACTCTAAGATTACCTTAGAGATCACTTATTATTTTGCCCCAATCAATGAAAATATTAATTTAGATTCAATTCTAATTTCTCAAAGAGAGGGATCTATTTAGATATAGCGCATGTTAATTTTGCTAACTTCAGGTTTGTTTCTGTGAAGCCCCAGGTAAGATTGGAGAAGTTTTCAGAAAACAAAAAAGCTACCTTTACAAATGCTGATAAGTCTTTTTATAGATAGACAGACTTGTTATCTCACTATTACTTCCTAGGATACATATATTAATTACTTAGATTTTATTCTTGATGTTCCTGAGTTTTTATTTTTTTTTACATCCAAAAAATGCCTACTGTTCTTTGACTGAATGTTAAACACAAAACCAACATCCTTTTGGACTTTTCCTTGTGTGAGTAGTCTCAAAAGGCTTAAAACTGACTATAGCTATTCATTTTCATGCATATTTTAAGATACAAGCAACAGAAATATTTTTCTCCCAAACAGAAAAATATGACCAATGTACAAGAAAAATGATCACTGAATATATTAAAAAAGATTTAAGTGCCAAAAAAATTGGCAGCACATTAGTATTAAAATAACTTCCTTTTGGTCATAAAAAATTTTAAATATAATTTATATTCTGAAGCTATTTAGATGGTGGATTAGCATTATCAACTTTTCTAAAAATGTCTAAAAAGACACATTCATGTCTGCTTGACTAACAGTCTCATTTGTTTTTTAAAAAATATTATTTATTATGCCAGGACCTATATGATCCCCTGAGAACTGCCAGGAGTGAGCACTGATCACAGAGCCAGAAGTAAGAACTGAGCACAGCCAGGTATGTCCCCCCAAAATACCCATAAACACCATTATTAATTAACTTTCTATGAAATCATATTTGAATTAATGTCCTGATAACAATGGTATGGATATTAGATTAAATAATTAAAATAGGAATGATCTACTCAGAGACAATTTCCATGACACTAATTTCTATAAAATCAGTAACTAGGAATTTTGTTTAATCAATCTAGTTTCTTTGTTTTCTTCTGTTTGTTTATTTTGTTTTGTTTTGGGGGGGCCATATCCAGTAGTATTCAGAGCTAACTCCTGACTCTGCACTCAGAGGTCACCCATGGTGGGGCTCAGGAGATCAAATGTGGTTCCAGGGATTGAATCCTGGTCAGCCACATGCAAGACAAGAGCCCTACCTGCTGCACTATTGCTCTCGCCCTTGACCAATGTTGTGTTGACTGCAAATTCTGAGCAGATTCTAGGTGATATAAAGCTAATACTAGACACATTTGAGCTTCCTGAAGGGATATATTAAATGTAGTTTCATTGATAAATCATCATGAATCTTCCTTAAAAATGGTGATATAAATGTTTTATGTACATCAAAATAAGAGGTGACAATCTTATTTTAGTTTGGGGTTGGTGATTCTTTAATTGCTGTCCAACGAATTACAATTTTAGCTTCAAAAAAAAGATTTTTTTAATTTTAAAAAAAATCTAATTTTAGCTTTCTTTAAAAAAAATTGCCTCAAAATTTTAAGTGGTACATAAATACAGAGCTTTCATTTACATTAGATTTTCCTACAAAGCATTAATAATACAGTAATGATTTTTCCTGGAGCAATAGCACAGCGGTAAGGCGTTTGCCTTGCACACAGTCAACGTGGCCCACCCAAGTTCGATTCCTCCGCCCCTCTTGGAGAGCCCAGCAAGCTACCGAGAGTATCTCGCCCGTCCGCACGAGTAGCCTGGCAAGCTACTCGTGATGTATTCGATATGCCAAACACAATAACAAGAAAGTCTCCAATGGAAACGTTACTGGGCCCGCTTGAGCAAATCGATGAACGATGGGAGGACGGTGATCTAATGATTTTTCCAAGTAGGGGCTGGAGCGATAGCACAGCGGGTAGGGCGTTTGCCTTGCACGCGGCTGACCCGGGTTTAATTCCCAGCATCCCATATGCTCTCCCAGTACCGCCAGGAATAATTTCTGAGTGTAGAGCCAGGAGTAATCCCTGTGCATCGCTGGGTGTGACCCAAAAAGCAAAAAACGAAAGAAAAAAAAAAGCAAGCATTTACTCTCAAAAAGGAGGAAATTACTTTCTTCCCCAATAGTAATCAAACTTAAAACCCCATATGCAGACTAGGTTAGAAATTCGGTCTGTTGAAGTAGTATATTTGTATGTGGAGATGGCTAGAAATTCTTATTTTTATAACAATATAGGCTTTAACAGACCTAGTAATATGTCCATAGAGAAATGCATACTCATCAAAAATCAATTTAATTCTACATGAACCTACCAATATGAAACTGTTGTCTAGAAAATTAAAGTACAATTTATATTAAAAATAATTATACCTAGTATTCCAAAAGCAAATAAAGGGTGAAGTTAGAATTGCCTTAAAAAAAAAAGCCTCTCAGAGCAGGGGCCAAAAAATTAGTAAAGGCATTAAGAGTACTTGCCTGCACATGCCAAACTTTACTGAATTCCCTGCATCCTGGCATTGCATATGGTTCCCTTAGGCACTGCCAGAATTGGTCCCTGAGTGCAGAGCCAGGAGTAAGCCCTGAGCACTGCTGGGTGTGGCCCCAAACAAACAAACAATAAATGAAAAACACCCTCTCAGAGTAAAGGGAAAATGTTGAAATAGTCTACACTACAAAGCTTAGGAAGAAGAGGCACCATTTTTTGTGACTTATGTTCTGTAACTGGAGTTCTGTAAAGCGTATGGAATATAAACCTTGTTCTTGGCTTAATGTAAATAATTTAGTTTCAGAAAAAAAAAGGCTGGGCCCCTATTCTTTTCCCTAAAAAAAAAAATCTGCATATGGGGAAACATCTAAGATTTGAAACTTTATTCTTTTCCTATAATAAATATTCATGCAGGTAACTGTTAGCCATGAAGAATCAACACTATCAACACTGCTTCTGATATTAGAATTGGTCTATTTATTCAAATAAGAGTCCTTTATTATTATTAACAGGGGTTCCCATGAAATGTTTAGTAATTAGCTTTGGTAAGTAAAGAAGGTAAGCGAAATGTTCCACCTTGCTCGACTCAGCAAACAGGCTGGTGAGTTCTAACATCCTCATGATGACAACAGCTCTCAGTTGAACCAATAAACCATTAAACTGTAAACAGAATAGTCAACATGGGCAAATTGAGCTTTTCACCTTTTTTTTCAAGCTTATAGTTACCTAAAGGGAATATCTTGAAAGGGTTTTTTTATGTTCTCTTAGCTTTCTTCATTTCTCCAGATGGCGGTAAGGAAATACATTTCTAGGGGAGGAGAAACTTGGGAGGAGCTTGTGAAGATTAACACTCCAATGCTCATACATTCCTATTACCTTTTATATTAGTATAACTTTATTATTAATTATCTGCCAAGGAAAATAAAATGGACTCTCAATGAAGAGGATGTAGCCTTACTGGACAAGCAAATTGGT